AACACCAAATGGCGGAACATCAAATGGTGGAACATCAAATGGTGGAAATGGAGCAACACCAAATGGCGGAACATCAAGTGGTGGAAATGGAGCAACACCAAATGGCGGAACATCAAGTGGTGGAAATGGAGCAACAGGTGGAACAAATGGAACAACATCAAATGGTGGAAATAATGGAACAACACCAAATAATGGAACCATACCAATTCCTTCAAACGGAACCGGTATTGTTATACCGCCATCAAAAACTTCCGGATCGTATGGATTATATGGTGATAGTATCATTATTTATGCTCTAACCAAACCATTAGTCCTTGTAACATATTATTGTAATTATCCTTCGCAATCCTATCAAAGGTGTGGAATTATAGTAGATTGGTCTACTAAAAGTGCTCGAGGGTGAGTTAAATTTGATAATTTTTTCTTAATATGATGAATGATTAATTTATTAATTACCTCATATTTGTTAATTGATCTATTACGTAGAGATGTGATTACATTTGATAAAAGTTGTACAGCTAGCCAAATAATTAAAAGTTATAAATATGATGGATTTATGTACACATGCTACGATTATACAACTAATACTTTAACTTGGACGCCATATATATTGTAAGTTTTCTTTTTTGCGTGCTAAAGTTTTATTTTTTTTTTTTACAAAATTCTGGCATTAAACAATCTTGATTTTTTAGGAACACAGATGGTTCAATCACGAAAAGATCAAGTGGCAAAACCACCGAAATTGCACAGATTTCCAATATGACACAATTTTCAAAATATATAAAAATTTTTCCTATCGAGAATGATGATTACGGATTAGTTTACACTAAAATTGTGCCCCAGACTGGATTAGGAATAACAAGTTCAACAACTTCATGGTCACTTTATGTAATGTGGATTTCCAGCCAAGACTCTTCGATGACAGGAGATGTATCTATATATCGTTCACAGCCCGGTACAAATACTACTGATTTTAATTTGTACCAATGTTCTGTTTCACATGATTCAATTGGATACAACTGCTTAGTATATACTAAACGAACTGATAAAACCGTATACGTCAATATTAACTTTTGGAAAAATGGTAATGTCAATAAAACGAGTGAAATTAGTTTAAATTTGCCTGCCCCATATACTACATATAATGTGATAGATGTTCAGCCTTTAAGCTATGGAGGTTATATTTTTATTACTGAGAACTCTACAAACACTGGTGAAGCTGGCGATGTTAAAGGGTTTATATATTACGATAATGGAACTTTGTATGGTCCTTGGGGCATCCCTGGTTTTGCATCCAATAGTCCGATCGTTGGCGGTTCCCCAAACAATACTATATGGGCCATTATCCCAACCGGGAGTAATAATAATAATAATAATAGTAATAGTAATTCAAATAGTAATTCAAATAGTAATTCAAATAGTTCAACTTGGACAATTGCGGCATCCGACTCACTATCAAATTTCCGTCCAGGTAAGCGATAGTTGAAATTGTTACAAATATTGTAAGCTTTACTGATCTAAATCTACTTTTTTTATTTAAAAATAGGTGGAGCGTTTGGTTCAGTCGTCAGTCTCTCACCAGCTCCGAACACGGTCGTTTCGCCACCGGTTTCAGTGCTTGGCTTAACGTACGCTGTTCCAGTTAGTAAATCCACTGGATCTTTCAAAATCTGGGAAGTAAACACCTCTGGAGGTGATGACACTTTGCGTGGCCAAATTCCAGCCTCTGATGATAGAGTTAAAATTAACAATACAGATGTAACTGTAAGCCTCTTCCCATTCTATACAGCGAGTGGTAATAAGCAATATTACACTACAGTAGATGATGACGCAATAAAATATGCGGCAGCAGATCAGAATCTTAATGGTATCGACAGATTAGTGTGGAATTACTCTACATGTATTTATCATGTTTGTAACTATGTGCATAGTTAATTATTTCTGTTACTTTCTTTTTATTAATACATTTTTAATGTTTTATTTTAGCTGCGGCTAGTGATACTTCTTCGGGTAATTATAAATTTCTAAATATTTATTTCTTACACCTTGCAAGAAAATTTTGCAAAAAGAAAATATCATTATTAATTAACGTAAATTTAATGCATAGGTGGTGCATCCACTATCGTTCGTCTAACCCCCGGAGGAACTTCACAATACGTAAATTTATCACCAAATGATCAATCTACATTTGCCAAAACTTTGGGTAGTGAAATTGCCACGGCTCTTGAATGTGATTCCTCGCGTATTACAATACCGACACATTATCAATACAGTAATTTTAATAATTCTGGTGATCAAATTTTTATGCGTGTTAATATTGCCCAAGGACAAGGTCAGGATAGAGGTGCATCTTACCTTGCCAGTGATTTAAATGACATGATCGCGAACAAGGCTTCTTCACCAATTTCCACTGGTACCAATTCTAAAAACCTTGATCAATATAATGGTGCTTGGCTATTACGTAAGTTCTCATTATATTCATGATGTCTTATGTTCATGCGTATTTCTTCGTACATTTACCAATTATACATTATTAATTATTTTTATATATAGCTGTCTTATGGAATAGATACAAATATATCCTTATTGGCGTCTTCATTGGACTTGCGTTGTTAGGTCTTTTATGGTGGCTTGCATGTCGTAGACGCTACAGTGTGAGTAGTCTATAAACATGAATGTGATATGAACATATATTTTTTACATAATATGCTAAAATATTCGTGATTTTTTATTTTAAAGAGATTTGGAAAAGAGAAACGACGACAATATGCGATGCTCAACTTCTTGACCATTTTTGTGTCTACGCTAATAATAGTGGATCTCGTATTAGACATTTTATTTATTGTTTTTCATGGAAAGGATGAAAAGTGGATTTTGCCTGTCAGGTTTGTTAAATTCTTTTAACAATGAAATATATATATCTTTTGAGTTTGAGATTATTCATTATCATCAATAAATTAAATATTGATTTTCTTTTTTTTTTCAGCGTTGTTTTCTTAGTGGTTCCCGTCGCCTTCAGCACTCTGTTTACGTTCTTAATTATTAGTCGCGAACTTAGCGAAGATAAATATAGAAAATGGTGGCAAACGCATAGTCGCACTGCTCTAGCTACAACGCTTTTATCTGGACTTGATGTCGAAGCTTTGAACGTGGCATCTTCACGCACTGCTAGCATTGGTTCACTAAACGCTCCTTATTCACCAGAAGCAGATAGGCGGATTTTCTATGCTACTACTATTCTTCTACTTATTGAAGACGTACCTCAGTTTATATTTTTGGTAAACAAATTTAAAAAATATTAAGTTATGTATAATTTGTGGTGTCTTTGTTAGTAATAAACTAATTTATTTCATTTATGTAGATCATTTATCAAAAAGTTACTATCATTCCGGCCATTATTCCTATTCTTGTACTTTCTTCATGCACTATTCTCATAGTTATCAGAGTCATATCAATAATATATCTTGCATTCTTCTGTGATCGAGAATGGCGATATGAGGATGAAATTCTCGACGATGACCCTACGAGAGAAACCACTTTTGCTGATGCGCCTTGTAATATTCTTTTTTTTTACAATACTTTTAGTAAAATCTTTTAATATTAAATCTAACCCTTTTTATTTATGCACGACATTTTTTATTTATAGCGGAAAAACCAGCAAAGAAAACGCATAATAAACCAGATAATCGGCCACCAGGCCAGACGCATATAATTTCACTTTCGGATCCAGATCCACTTCTTGTAGATATTAGAGATAGAGATAACCATGAAAAGCCTCCAGGAAGGCATCCAGCATTTGTCGAACCTGGCATAATGTCTGATGTAAAGAATGGAAAGAAAGGAAAAGATACTTCCAAAACCCAAGAATCCAAAAATCTTCGTCCTCCTGGCACTGGAGTAGGAGCGCGTATAAGTGACATTAGTAGTGATGTTGAAAGACCAATAGGAAAATACACTGAAAGTCAAGTGATGGACTTACCATCAGACGAAGGGCATTTCGAAACTAGAAGAACGCAATATGTAGATGAATACGGTGTTACCCACATCAGAGAAGAACAGGTTTATGTTCCTGAAACAACAATTACTACATCTCGTGAAGAATTTGATTCTCAGTTTGATGTACATCGATCACATAGACAAGGTGATGGAACTCAAGGCGAAATAGTTGTTGATGAACGTACTTACACTTTAGGTGATGCTCCTAATATTACAAGTGACACTCATCGATCACAAACGCAAATTAGCCAAGGTGATGCACCTGAAATAATTCGCTCACCTATGAGTACAAGAGAACAAACAACAACTTACCATTTACCAAGTAGTCAAAGCTCAACTACAACTACTACTATAAGAGGTACCCCAACAACTACTACAAATACTTTTATAGGCACTCCAACAACTACTACAACCACTTGGCTGAGTGATCAAGAATTCCGAGAATTGCAAGGCGGAAATCACGGCGGGAATCATGGTGGTTCTCGTACATATACAACAGAGGAGACACACCAATTACCTGGAGGAATAACTGAGACAGTCTATACAACTACCACAGAAAGAAGTGGTCAAGAATTCCGAGAATTGCAAGGCGGAAATCACGGTGGAAATCACGGTGGTTCTCGTACACATACAACAGAGGAGACACACCAATTACCTGGAGGAGGAACTGAAACAATATATACAACTACTACAGAAAGTAGTGGTCAAGAGTTCCGAGAATTGCAAGGCGGAAATCACGGTGGTTCTCGTACATATACAACACAGGAGACACACCAATTACCTGGGGGAGGAACCGAGACAATCTATAGAACTACCACAGAATCAGCTGAAAGAGAAACTGAATAATTAAAAAATAGTGTAAAATAAAAGACTTTTACTAAAACGCACTTATGGTGTTTTACACCTATATATATATTATTTCAAAAACTATCTAATTAATCAATGCAAGATGTTCTAAGTAAAAGTGCTTTACGCCCCTAAAAACCCCTTCCCAAATCCCTAAATATTAACACTATCATAAAAATTTTGATGAAAATTTTTATATTCAAAACTTAGAAAAATCTAAAAAACATAATGAAACATATGATAGTGCAAAACCACCATAGGTGCGTTTTATAATAATGAATTAAAATAATAATAGAAACAATAAATTTTTTAGAAAATATTTAAAACATTTGGTAAAATAAATATGTAAATTTGAATGGGACATAGTATATTGCTATTGTGTAAGTATTTTATACATATTAGTCAATAACTGGGCATTGGGCAAATTTATACGGTTGTCCTCTGTCTGGATTTTAATTTACTTTTTTTTTCTCATTTTTAATGCAATTTATAATTGTAATATTTTTAAAAATTTGAAAGCTGTTTATTTATTTACTAAAATAAAAGATATTATATTTTAACAATATTATAAAGCGTAGAATAGTAATCTTATTTTTTTAAAAAAAAATTATTCATTGCTTTTATTCAAAACTTTAGTAAATTAGATACAGCAATAAAAGATGCTTTTTTAACCTTAACATTAAATAGTTTTTATTTTTCTGTTCTTAATAAGATGTGGTAGCAAAAAAACTATACCTTTGTCGGACAATGTATAATTTTTTTACTATATTATCAATTGATTATTATATATCCGCGTAGGCTACATATTTCTTTATTTATTTTTTTCTTTGCTAGTTCACTGTTCTAAGATACAGAATTTATTATTTGTAGTAGGGTTTCGAGTTGAAATTTATTAAATTTTTAATAAAATTCAAATTCAAATTAATTGTATTTCTGGTGTTTTACTTAATTTGCCAACTAAGAAATCAATATTATTACGAAATCAAATGTTGTATTTAGAACATTATTGTGAGATCATTGCAATATACAGTACAAGGATGCTAACTTCACCCATGGCTTAGCCACAGAGAATAGAATAGGGATCCGTATCATTTCATTTCATAGGCATCTTAGAAAACATTCATTCACAGACAATTTTATTTTACAGCTAATCAATTGCTCCTTTGTCGAGAGTTTATTTCACCGACACGACGAGTTCATTTCTTACATAAACTACTAAAACTTTCCTTAACCTTAAAATTGATTCTAAGCCCCAACCTTTCATAGTAAAATTAATTTGTCGGTGAATGAGATAAACCTGTCTGTAAAATGAATTATCAACCTGTAAATAAGATTATGAAGTGATTGTCTGTAATTGTCTATGAAAGTGAAAATGAGCAGAACCGGAATAGACTCTTTATAACGTACCGTGTATACAGTATCTAATGGAGTTGGTATACGACTACATGCCAAACAAATACAGAACCTAGAGTTTAAATCTTTTTATATAATCCGAAATTCAATAATATACAGTAGTTGACTGTTATCATGGTATGTATGCTAAATTTTAAAACAAGTCGAAAGTTGAATAACTATTATTAATACGTGTGTATCTAAAATTTTTAAAATTTAAACGAATAACAATAAATATCGAAAGAACAAATTTACATGTATTTAAAATCTTCAAGTGAAAAACATGGATAAATTATTCAATAATTTGATGTTCTATCAATATAAGACCTGGAATACGACTCAGCATTTTCAGAGAATTTCTGAAACTTACATTACTGAAATGACTCCAGTGCTCGTATTAATTAGCATAATCATTGCGTATTATTGGTGATTTAATAATGACCTTTACATATTTTCGCACTCAAAGAATTCTGTACCGTGTATTGCGATCACAATCTATCATAAAATTCTGCCTTGAAACAGCTTTTCATGCTTTAATAATAATAATAATAATAATAATAATAATTCATCTCATAATTATCATAATTTTGGCATAAACTTTAAATCCAACTACAAAATCAGCTTAATGCAGGCCGAGGTCGATCAATATAGACCAAATGATCGACAAAATCTGGTGGGAGTTAAAAATTTATTTAAGGCTTGTCTTTTTATTTTTTCACCTCATCAACAATAACAATATTCGATACGACTTTTGCTTGATATCAGGTTAGATTTTTTAAAATGCGGGCTCCGTGTTATTAAAATCAAAAAAATATATTTGCTATATCTTTGGTATTGGTTTCAGAAGCCATAAATGTATCAGAATTCGCTAAAGTAAAAAATTTTGATTCATAATATAGATTCGTCATCATTAAATATGTCATTTGTGTTAACTATATCAGCTTTTAAAGATAACTGAATAGAATTGTTATCATATCAGCAATACTCGTAATTATTCTTATGTTTCGTAATATTAAAGTTCTTTCGAATCTCTAAAGGCCAATAAAATCCACAACATTGACAGTTTCAATACGCTTAATTATAAATCGATTTCTTCGATCTCCACGAACGATTTCAGGTCCGTTTATATGTTGTTTGAGACAGTACAATCTAAAACATTTTAACTGTTAAATCTTCCAGGATTGCATGATATTTTATATTATTCATTAACTGCCATGTAATCGATGAAAACTATCCGTGACTATCTAAGGTTAAAAATGAATATTTAATTAACTATTACGTGAATATCATGAATACCCATGTAAAATTCAGATATCAATTCAATACTATATATTTGTAGATGTCAAAAAGACTCCATGTCATAAGTAAGAATAGAATCATAAAGTCATTAGTCGACTAAATTTTTTGTAATCTGTCGATCGACTAGCGACTAATCAACTAGTCAACTAATCGACTAATCAACTAGTCAACTAATCGACTAATCGACTAGTCGACCAATCGAATATTTATTTAATTGACTAGTTAATTAATCAAGGGTTAATATGCACATTTAATTGGTTAACTATTGTTTATATAAACTTATTAATCGACTAATTGACTAATCGATTAGTTGACTAGTCGAGTAGTTATCTAATTGACTATATATATAGTTAATTAATCAAAGGTTAATATGCACATTTAATTGGTTAACTATTATTTATTAATCGACTAATTGACTATTCGATTAGGTGACTATTTGATTAGTCGACTAGTCGATTAGTCAATTAGTCAAATAATCGATTAGTCAAATTTTTAGTCAGTCGATGACTAAGTTTTAATCGACTGACTAATCGACTAAAAATTTCTGTCATAAGGTTCTCTCGAATATATTTACGAAATTCAACTAATAAGTCAATGCATTCAGCTTTATATCCAATAGTTTTTAGTTTTTTTTTGATAATAATGGTAGTTTATTTAATCAATCTTTTTAATTATACATATATACAATATATATTAAAATCGGGTCAATGTCTAAATCCCGAAATTTAATTGTCGCGTCGTGTGATGTCGGAGTTCCACTATTCAAACCTGCTTATGATTAGTAATAATGATTACTAATCACAAGCTGAGTTTGAATAGTGGAACCCGACATCACGCGACGCGACAATTAAATTTCAGGATTTTGACTTTCGGGATTTTGACATAGATCCATTAAAATCAGTTTTATAATGTGACAAAACCTAAAATACAGTGATGATAAAACTTATGTGGGCATCACTGGTTAATACTATAAACTCAGGTTTACGGACGCAGAAATCATGTGAGTAAAAGATTTCACCCGTCCTATTTTATCCATTCCTCTCTTACTATAGAGATAAAAAATTTTTGGCACCGTATTTGCGCGTAATAATGCATACGGTGTTATTTTGAGATATCTGATTTTTTGGTAAATAGCTATGTACGTCTCAAAATAACGAGCCCTTATATATAATATGTTTGTTGTGAACCTAATTGGATTGGCATATATAGATAATATATACTATATATTTGACCCATCTAGTAAGTAGCCGACATTAAAATTAATGATTGATATAATAATGACTAAATTTGATAAATAATAATATACGTAATGATAACTATTACGTTGAAATTTTTTTAAATGCTGTAAAATAGAAAATCAAGACTTTATTCATCTTGTCGAATTATGAACCCATTATTGCATTTCAAAGTAATCAAAAAACATGCTTTAAGTGTTCAAATCGTATAAATGGAAGCCGAAAAAGAAAACGTGAAGAACAAATTTTAAATAATATTTATAAGCAAAAGAAAATACCATAAAATCCGGAGAGATTAAACATATAGTTTATGAAAAACTTATGGAGAAAGCAATATGCATACGAATCTTGAGATATTTTTAATGAATTAGAAGTAAATGACGCAGAAGTTCATTAGTATTAGAGTTCGTAAAGATCTATGAAAAAGGAGATGGTTATTCATACGTTTACAATAAAGAATATGATAATAAATAAATCAATATTACTTTGCTTACCTATGGTGTATTTGTCGCTGTGAACTCGAAAAAAATAATGAAAAAAATAATGAAAAAAATAATGAAAAAAATAATGAAAAAAATAATGAAAAAAATAATGAAAAAAATAATGAAAA